GTCTTTACTGATAGTGTTATTGGTAAACGATCTGACTCGATACAAGATTGTATACTAAAAGCACCAACAAGGTCAAATAATATTGATGATGATATAATGTAATCTATTAGGCTTGTACCATTATTGCCTATGTACGTAAAATCCCCAGTTTCTAGATCGCTGCCACATCGTCCGTTCATAATATGGATATTCAAGGTAGAACATAGATCTAGGAAGGTTTTACCAAAATTGTTTAGGAGTTCTGTCGGCGGAAAAACGTTTTAGATTAATAAAGTCAGTTAAAAAGTCCCAATAGGATTCTTTTTTATTTTCTGTGTATTCTAATCAATCATCCTGTACAAAGTCCGGGTTTGTGCCAGTTCGAGCATTAAAATCACCACCACAGAGAATATAAACATTTGGTACTTGAGATATAACATCTAATAAAGAATCTTGAGATAAAATTATTCCATTTTTACAATGTGGATATAGTTTATCGTACCATGCCGAGCCTCTGTTTGAATGTTTACACACGAGTAGAGGATATCTCTGTCAATACCAAATAATGCACGGTCAAATAATAGAAAATCTGCATTTTCTGTTGTTTTTGTCTATTTCAAATATTTATAAAACTGATGACATATCAAGACTAATATCCCACCGGAAAGTCTTCCACAGGTAGATATTTTATCTGCTGCATTTACAATCACCTCAAAATCTGGGAAAATATTATGAATATCTATATTCTTACTCCACATTTCACTAATTCCAATGACATCAAATGATTTGCTATAATCAATAAAATCATTATCAGATAATGTGTGTGTTATCCCACCAATATTCCAAAACACACAGTTCACAAAGTCCGATGTATTGTTAACACTTGCGGAGGTCAAATCTTTCTCTTCCGGTCGTTTCCCATGAGCCGTAAAACCCATGCTTGTCATAAGAGGCGACTAACAGGATCGGGTCCTCAGACTTGTTTGACAAATGTCATTGTATCCCAATAGATGGCCGGTCGGGTGGGTGAGTGTGTGAGTGAGAGAGAGGAAAGTTCACGTTGCATCGGCACTATATTAGTCACGGGTCTAGGACAATTCCAACCCGGACAATTCCCACCCGGACAATTCCCACCTAGGACAATTCCCAACCAGTTATTTTCACTATAATGATGAGGACAATTCCCACCGAGGCTTTGAAATATTGAAATATTACACTTTGGTGTAATACTGAAAATGATAAAATATTGAAATTTTGACATTAAAGAAATTATAAGCGTACAATCGCGAATCAAAAGTGCAATAGTTTGTACTTGGGTTTACTTCCCTCGAAACGAAGCACCCGGGAGACCGAACCCAGTCAGAGCGGGTGGGTGTGGAACTCAAGTGTAACGAAATCTTTTCATTGACTGGTTCATTTGCCGATACGCCGAGGGCTCATTGTGTGTGTGTGTGTATATAGAGAGAGATGATGTTTGATTGGCATTTTAGAAGTATGGTAAGTAATAAGAAAGTAAGATGCTTTATGGATAGCAACTTCTTTTATTGTATATGATGCGACGTTTCGGTATGGAATCCATACCGAAACGTCGCATCATATACAATAAAATAAGTTGTCATCCATAAAGAATGTATATAGAGATGTTGGGTTTTGTAAATACATGCTCTCTTCATTTGCGTTCGATCCAATCAACAAATACTGAGATGGTGAACTACTGCGTGGCTGGAAACGTGTCGTTCATCCAAGCACAAAGCAGGACTTGAAACTGACAATCTGAGTTTGCACCGGTTTCCGTCCGATCCAGTCATCCGAGAAAAATTGATTCAGTTTGTTTGCAACCCACAGACATAATAACACACCTGCCTGTCTGTGTTATTACATAATATGACAGAGACAGAACACAGGTACAAGAGCCATAAATCAATGTGTTTTGTTTATGGTGTATAGCCTGATAGGTGTTAAGTTAAGGTGTTTGCATATTGTCATTAGCAGACAGGCAGGCAGACACATAGGCGTCAATAAAACAGACACTGAGTTTGTCTGTGACAGAGACCGCTTATCACAATCAACATGTTTTTCTATGTTTCCCCAGCGCTGGGGTGAAATTAGTGATTCGTTTGAACTCCGATTTCGCGGGGTTTTTTTCATCGCGTTATTTTTCAACTTTATAAGTTGAATTTGCATTTTTTGATAATTTGCTATTGTAAGTCCATACCGAAAGGTATCAGATTCTGCAAAGTTGTGTTTTGCGTTGCATGTGACCTTTAATATCACCGAAGCCCTCGTACATTGTTTTGCTATTTTTGTTTTGTTCTTTTTTACCTATTTGTTTTAAAGAAATTACCCCTCTTTGATACAACTAAAAGAAGGAGAAAAACATATTTCGTCGCCTGAGAACCAGAGTGTTCTATCTCACCAAAACTTGATTTCGAGATATGGAGTCCCAAAGATTGAAGTGTGTGTAAAATGAATATTTCCAAAGGAAACTGTTTGTAACTTTGCATGTAGGTGCATGTTGTTATTCTGAAACTGGAGAACCATGTTTTAATGATCCAAAATGTAGATGTAACCTAAAGATAAGAAAAAAGTGTTTGGAGACAGAACAAATATCTAAAATCAAAAGCTGTTTTGTTCAGTTCCAAAGTGTTCTATATCCATAAAATACTGAAATAGCTCCAAAAATGTACGTATATATCTTAATATTTTGAATTTCCTTATTTGAAAAAAACAGAAATAAGACAAATGATTAGGAAAATACCTTTATTTTCAAAACAACACTTTGGGTAATGCTATTTTTTTTTTATTTCCATGTATGAGTGCATAGGCTTGAAACCGACAAGCTATTTAAACCAAAAGTATGCTGGTCATTGATAATTTATTGTGATTTCCTTTAAACATATGGGAATATATAAGAACTCGGTGAACAGGGAACATTTGGCAATCGTGAAACAATTATGAACAAGAACTAGTACAGGAAAGTTAAAATATTGATATTGAGAATCAAACTTAGATTGTAATGTATATAATTCAGACTGGATGTGCTGATTATCATCATATTGATTAATTGGATGTAGCCATGTGTCTATGATAAGAGCATATCTCTAATAAATCAACATCAAACAATCTCTTAAAAGTTTCAAAACTTGGAATAGGTATAAAGTACTTTGCCGTATGGAGCTAGAACGGTTGTGTTTCTTCTCAAAATAGTAAGACACTCGCCTCTGGGATACTTGCAGGGTGGTGAGGTAAAACTCCTTACAAACATGAATCTTGTTGTCATTAATGTAGCAATAGTATTCATGTGAATACGATCTTCTACACTCCTCCTGTTTGTTTGTTTTTTTCTTCGCCTGATTGTCCGAGGATTTTCCTTTGGGTTTTTTCCATGATGCTGGTTGTCTCTTACGTTTTCGGGATGTTTAGGGCTCAATCAACTCTTCATGATCTGCAGAATTTGATTCATTTATGTGTGGAGTTGAAACTTCAACAATTTGAGAAACGTGAATTTCTGTTGTTTGGATTGATGGATTACATGCATTCGTAGTCTGATCAGAAGACACTGCATTGCCACCATTGCCTAATTAATGACCGGTTGTACCTTATAAACATTATCATAATCATCGGAATCATGATCTTCATTTTATGTTACCAACGCTAGAACTTGATCCAGTTCAAGATTTTAGACATGACTCAGTTTTTTATTCTGTATTGGCAATCAACAAATTCCTCTTCAATATAGTAATTAAAGTCCGCTTCACTGAAGGAATGGTCCAGACTCAGGCTAAACAATGCCAGGGAACAGAAATTAGCAATGCTGAACAATTCAATGCAGTTATCCAAATTGAATTTGACTCCAGATGCTTCCAAATTGAAACAACTCTTTGTCTTTTGAAATATTTTGGGGGCGCGGTGAGAGAGCTGTCTAAGGCGCCAGGCTAGTGATCCAACGACCTTGGAGGTGCCGGGATCGAGCCAACCTGTGACCGGGTGTAAAAAAACCCTTGGAGTCAACTTTGTGTGCATACTCTTTCAGTGTTGTCACAACCCCTAGTGTACAGTACACAACCCTGTGCACTTAAAAGAACCCACGAATCCGTTGGTAGATGACCAGATGGTGGCCAAATGAATACGTGCAAACACCTAGTTGCGGATACAGCAAAGGACTTGGACAAAGTACTGTCACTATGTGTCCCAGTCCACCCAGCTGTGAATGGGTACCTCGTAAGGATGGGAAAGCCACATTAACTCGGTGCGCCTAGTAGGCAGCAAGAGTTGTACGCTCCCCAGGGAGTTGAGATTAGAAAATACGATATGCCGCTGTGATGGACATCCAATGATCGAAGCGCCTTTGAGCAGTTGTACTGGATATCGGCGCTATACAAATGTATGTATGTACGTACCTATGTACGTATGTATGTATGTATGTATGTATGTGTGTGTGTGTGTGTGTGTGTGTGTGTGTGTGTGTGTGTGTGTGTGTGTGTGTGTGTGTGTGTGTGTGTGTGTGTGTGTGTGTGTGTGTGTGTGTGTGTGTGTGTGTGTGTGTGTGTATGTATGTATGTATGCATATATTTCAAAAGACAAAGAGTTGTTTCAATTTGGAAGCATCTGGAGTCTTCGGACTGACATGAGCGAAGCTCACATTCAGATGTTCCAGGTTTTCACATGCTTTGATGATGATAAAAACTTCATTACATAGATATTTGCAGTGTTCAACATTTAACAGTTCAAGGTTGGGCAAACTCACAAGAAATCCAAGAGTAGAAACGTTCATCTCTCTTATGTTTAACCATCATAGTTTGTCAGCTTGAAGAAATCATGTTATGAAAATATACTCAGTGACGGACACTGGGCTTTCACCTTCCATAAAAGGTATCTGTAAATACCAAAAATAATGGGACCGAGAGGAGACCATGCAGCTGTTTAAATGGCAATTTCAGGCCATAGAATTCTGTGTCTTTCCAAATCTTCTGTGAATTCAAGATAAGTTGATGCAGATATTGGCACGCTCAGCACACATTCAATAGTAGTTCTTTGAAAGGTACATAGCTTAGAATGTCAATGATGACTTCCTCGATTAACCTTGTTAACATTTCACTGCATCAGGAACACTGAAAAGATGACAAATATGTGATATTGAAAAATGTTCTATGTCCAACAAACATAGTAGGAAAACATGACATACTCTTAGAACCAGAGTATTCTATCTCCATGTCAAACTTCAAATAGTGCATTTACTCCAAAATTATCAGTTGTTAAATTTCAAATTAATATATTGGAATGTTAAGGGTTAATTATCACTTATTGCACACTTTTATCCATTTGAGAAAACAAGAGTTACAATGAAAAAGTGAAGATAAATACTCACCATTTCCATGTGACATCCGACGAAAGTTCAGGTCCAGATTGTCCTATCTCCAAATCATGTGACCAAATCGACCGTTTTGATTAGTTAGGGACATAGAACAGTATGGAACTGAAAACCTTTTTAATTTGTGGAGATAGAACTGATGTTAATTGTCTGAAAACCACTTTCTAAGCTAGATACAGCTACAAAATGTTATTTGGAGATAGAATACACCATGAGAAGTACCCAGAAAACCTTAACTCAATTTTTTCAAAAAGTGGAGATAGAACACTCTGGTTCTCAGGTGACGATTTGTTAAAGACATGTTCTAATGTACTTATTACCAGCTGTTCACCTTATATTTCCAGTTATATCAATTTTCTAAATAGGGTTTAAGAATGACAAATGGGAATTGCTTTATTCAATATACAAATAAAATAATCTTTTTTCAGCTACATTAAATTCCAAAGAAGATATTCAAAAATTGCATAAAATATTTCTCAAACTGAACATTGGTGTAGCCTGGTGTGATTTTATATGAATTCGCTGAAATAAAATATGAATGACAAAAAAAAGTCAGGCTAAAATATCCCTAGAGATGTGAAATATAAGCCTATTGTTAAAGATTAAAGTTCATTAGTTACACACAAATATAATATTATTGTTTTGGAACTCGTAACGATTAATAATTACATTTCCTAAAACTGTTGGAAGCGCACGTTCAATCTCCATAACAAGCCCGCATGATCGTCAGAAATATACTCATCTCGATGCTCCTTTTGAGCGAAAATACAGCACACGATTAACCAATCAGAATGCGCGTAGTGAGTGCGGTGCTTTGATGAAACTAATCCCGAATACTTATATATTTTATGTATTTATTAGTTTGCTTAAAATATAAAAAATATGTATCGTCGTTGTGAAAGTACAAAGAACAAAGCTAACAGACTTGTGTCGTCTAATGTGAAGTTTTAAATGAGGATAATGCCATGAACGGTGAGAGATTCAAATATTTATGCTTGTTTACACAACGGCTAATGGGTCCAACTGAGTGTATTTCTGACGCTCTTGCGGGTTTGATTTGGAGATTGTACTAGCGCTTTCCAACATTTTTAGGAAATATAGTTATAAATAGCTGCGGGATTCAAAACTATATATTTATATATGAATAAACAACTTAAATATTTAACATTGGGCTTACATTTTACATCTCTGGGATTTTTCAGTTTGACGTTTCTGGGGTCATGCATATTTTTTTCAGCGTATTCATTTGAAAAATCCACCATCGGTATTGCAGCAAGGTCACACGAATGTTCGGCTTGAGAAGATTTTGAAGTCATTTTTTGAGCATCTGCTTTGGGATTTAAAGTAGCTGGAAAAAGATTATTGTATTTGCATATTCAATCAAACCGATGCCATTTGTGATTCTTAAACCCTATATAGACAATATGCGAGTGCTTCCGTGATATTAAGGACAACTGGAATCAAGCAGGAATAGAGTTATCGTTCTTGTCTGTCCACAAGAATCCGAAGTACTGGGAAGAGATAGACAAGTTCAAATCGGAGAGGTTCTTGGAAGAAAATGGCAAAATCAAGGAAATCGATGTTTTATTCTATTTTCTATTGGTAAGTTTTCATTTGAACACATTATGTTAAACATGGTTGGGTCGATGTTGCTGTGCCGACCTGATGCGTGTTGCGATGTACAAGCTTGGTTCCTTATTACGGTTGTATCGAACTTCAGATAACTCAATGTATTTTCATAGGTCGTCAAACAATTTTTTGTTGAAGTTGAAGGGAAAATACGAGTTATCCAAGATACGTACGAGTTATCCGAGATACGAGACAACCGGGAATAGTTTGGGCAAACCGTGACTTTGACACTCAAAGTTCAAAGATGTTTTACCATTAATGGAAATATAAACCATAAATATAATTAAAAATTCCATGTCTCTTTCCTGACTTCGCACCTATTCTCTGGGTGTTTTGACCGAGTTAACCAATATCTGGCTGGAGTGAGTGAATGAGTTAAGATTTCTAGTCACATTGGAAGGGATTTCAGCCATATAATGACAAAAAAGTTATACATTCACGGCACATAAATTGAGAATATAAAAACATGTGGACAAACTACAAATTAAATTTAAATTAACATTACTGTTTAACATTAAACAAAGTCACAGGCCACATTCGTATGGTAGGAATACTGTTACATTTGGCAACAACATATACTTAATTATTCTGGGTGGTTTTGTTTATTTTATTTTTTTGTTGAACTCTGCACTCAGCAATATTCCAGCTATTTTGCGGCAGTCTGTCAATAATGGAGTCTGGATCAGGCAGTCCAGTGATCAACAGTTTGAGCATCTACACAGATCTACGCAATTGGGATACGATGGCATTTGTCTACCAAGTCAGCGATCCCGTTGGCGATCGGGGAACTAGTCAATAGGGCCGAAGGACAAAAGGGCCGAGAAGTGCCTTGTCAAAAGGGCCGATGGAAAAAGTCAAAAGGGCCGAGGTGAAAGTCAAAAGGGCCGTGACAAAAAGTCAAAAGGGCCGAGGTGAAAGTCAAATGGGCCGAACAGAAAAAAAGTTTAGAAAGGTTTTACAATGTTAATTGACACATATAGCATAATATCAGCATAACATTAATAAAGCTTGTAGCAAAGTTTTCATGCAATGGCAATACATATATTTAATCAACACAAGTTCACATAATTAACAAAAATAATAGTATGGCAATTTACACAACTTCATTTGTTCATAATTCACACAACTTCATAATTGACACACTGTTCATTCGTTCATTCAAACACACTTGGGGCATACACTCTGGAACACATTGTCAGTAGCCCAGTTGGGCTGAGCTGTCCCTCTTTGTACAGCCGCCAAGCAGCAAAGATTTCAGCCTGGTCAGCAGACGCCGACTTCTTCACAAATCTTGTGAGTTTTCCATAATGGAGGAGCTGGGCGTGGAGTGACAGGAGACTTGCTTGTTTATGGAGAGCTGGAATCAGCTTGTACAGTCCCAGTTGTTGATCAGATGTCCGCAAATTCATCCGGCGATGCCAACCTAAAATTTAAAAATATTTGTTACATAATATATATTGTTGTGTTAAATATTATCGATTTTGACATTTAAATATCGAATTTAATCATTTTTCGATTCTATGACTAACTATACATACCTTCAACATTGTTGTTGGTGCGGACTGACTGGTTGAATACACACCAACTGACCACTGTGAAGATGGAGTGACTCATCCACTGTCGCTCCATGTAGTCACAGAGATCAACCAGCTTCTGTGACGACGCCCTCATCTTCAGCTGACGGAAGACCGGTCTGATGTGTGCCGCTGGAAGAAAGGCCAAAGCCATCAGCTTCCTAATGAATTTGTAAAAAGCATTGTTCCCGCGATACGCTCTCTAGAAAAGAACAAAGGAATATGAGTATATGAAATATGAATATGACAAGCATAGGAATAGAAGATGACTTTGAAAAATGTGGCTATATGAATATGATGCTAATACGAATGAATGAATGTGTTACCTGAAGTCCAAGTTCCTGGCAATGTCGCCAGATGGCTTGTGTAAGATGGAAAACACAGCTGCGTAGCTTGACATCGTGGGGGGAGTCGATCAAATGCCTTCCATGTGGCAGCTTCGAAATCCATCATAATGCATCGGACTTGGGGTGGACGGGGTAGGACGTGCATCTTTAGTATGACTTTCACATAGTCGATGGTCCTGCGACGCGACATGAGGATGAAGCAGAGAGGCATCATCTTAATCTGCTGAGCGACCTTCAGATATCCATGTACAGAGAGTAGTTGATAGAAGGGACTTTTTTTCGGCCCTTTTGTCCTTCGGCCCTTTTGACTACAACCCGGCGATCGTACGACAAGCATGGGTTACTGAAGATCTATCCTAACCCGGATCATTGTTTGGGTATTTGTATGTTTATTGTTTAACGCCCAGTGGAATGACTTTCAGTCTATAATCGGCACAGATTTGTCTCCACACTTGACCTTGATAATTGAGACAAGAACTACATTAATTAATGTTTGTTAAGTAACCACTGTGAACAGAAATTACGGAGATGTTTACTCAGCGGACTGTTATTTTTAGTCAGCTTCGTTCGAATTACAAAGTATTGTTCTCATAGCATGTTGATTGTCGGGACTGTTATTTTCGTCCGTAATCCGTAATTGAGAGAGTCCGGATTATAAAGCAAGCTTGAATGATAAAATCAGAACAATTTTTGAGAGTAGTCCGGATTATGGAGAAAACCGGATTACACAGAGTCGGGATTTGATAGATTCCTTTTTACTTGGGTCGGCAGATTTGTCCTAAGTTTGTGAACAACAATACATATCCTGGGCCTGTAATAGCTATGCCATTCATACATAACCGAATAGCGTTCTATCTATCTTATCGAGAGAAACACAACATGTACCATGTCAGATTTACACACAAAATATGCCTTAAGGACATTGCAAACCAGTATATTTTGACTTAATTGGATGGTTTAGACATAATTTTGTTTCATAAACGAAATCGGGATTAGTAAATAAGGGAAACAATGTTTATATACATACCGCTCCAGGATAAAACAGGTTACATTAGAATTACTATACATTCATGGGCTCAACATTCAGTACAGCCTTGGAGCAAGGCTACAAACAAAACACCTGAGTAAATAAACGAGGAGTTTATTACACAGACACTGAATGAATACATACTCAGTTAATGATATACATGTTTACAATTAACTATTACAGCATGTTCACAATCAGCTATCAAAGTACACATATGAGGATAAGAATATCAGGTAAACATCACATCCAGATTTGTTACACACAATACTGACTTGATTAGTGAGAGAGTGAGTTCAGTTTTACGCTGCTTTTAACCATATTCCAGCTCTAACACGGCGGGGGACACCAGAAATGGGCTTCACGCATTGAACCCACGTGGGGAATCGAACCCGGGTCTTCGGGGTAACGAGCAAACGCTTTAACCACTAGGCTACCGCATCGCCCCACTGACTTCATTAATCACGATACACATTCCAATGAACACAACGTAATTCAATAGCTCACTTGCGATCAAATGTAGCGGAACCGACATACTCCTCTCATCACCCTAGCAGACAAAACAGCGTATTGTTAATCAGTAACATTAAAGAAGAACATTAAAGGATGATGAAGAGTGCAGGATTCTAGTGTATTAGTCTGAGGAAAGGTGCAGGATTCTAAGGTACAGTGTAGTGCTCTCAGGAAAGGTGCTGGATTCTAAGTCACAGTGTAGTGCTCTGAGGAAGAGTGTAGGGTTCTAAGGTACAGTGTAGTGCTCTGAGGAAAGGTGCAGGATTCTATGTTACAGTATAGTGCTCTGAAGAAGAGTGCAGGGTTCTAAGGTACAGTGTAGTGCTCTGAGGAAGAGTGCAGGATTCTAAGGTACAGTGTAGTACTCTGAGGAAGGGTGCAGGATTCTAAGGTACAGTGTAGTGCTCTGAGGAAGAGTGCAGGCTTCTAAGGTACAGTGTAGTGCTCCGAGGAATAGTGCAGGATTCTAAGGTACAGTGTAGTGCTCTGAGGAAGAGTGCAGAATTCTAAGGAACAGTATAATGCTCTGAGGAAGAGTGCAGGGTTATAAAGGTATGGTTTAGTATTCTGAGGAAGAGTGCAGGGTTCTAAAGGTACAGTGTAGTGCTCTGAGGAAGAGTGCAGGATTCTAAGGTACAGTGTGGTGCTGTAAGGAAGAGTGCAGGGTTCTAAGGTACAGTGTAGTGCTCTGAGGAAGAGTGCATGCGCAGGGTTCTAAGGTACAGTGTAGTGCTCTGAGGAAGAGTGCAGGCTTCTAAGGTACAGTGTAGTGCTCCGAGGAATAGTGCAGGATTCTAAGGTACAGTGTAGTGCTCTGAGGAAGAGTGCAGAATTCTAAGGAACAGTATAATGCTCTGAGGAAGAGTGCAGGGTTATAAAGGTATGGTTTAGTATTCTGAGGAAGAGTGCAGGGTTCTAAAGGTACAGTGTAGTGCTCTGAGGAAGAGTGCAGGATTCTAAGGTACAGTGTGGTGCTGTAAGGAAGAGTGCAGGGTTCTAAGGTACAATGTAGTGCTCTGAGGAAGAGTGCATGCGCAGGGTTCTAAGGTACAGTGTAGTGCTCTGAGGAAGAGTGCAGGATTCTAAGGTACAGTGTATGGCCTCATATTTTCAAGGTTCAAAGATATATCGGTGTATAGTACCAAGGTTTATTGAATTGTTCCTATATACAACAGAGGTTTTAAGTTATATCAAACATCCCATGTTGTACTGACGTGTTCTAGAGTTTAGTGCAGGTCCGAGGGTATATTGAAGTGATATAGCAGAGGTTCTAACTTCTAGCACATATTCAGTGTCGTACTGAAGTATTCTGAAGAGTAAATAAAGTGTGCGAAGGTTTAGTTTATGTTCAAACGTCTAGTGAAGGGTTCCAAGCTAAGTGTTTAAGTTATAAGGAAGGATGTAAGGTATAGTGAATGGCTTTAATTATGAAGTCTCATAAAGTATTCTTCTCAACAGAGAAGGTAAAGTACAGGTTCTAAGATATAATAACAGAAAGTAAATATAATGCGAGACCCTAAGGTACGGCGAGTGTTTTTATCAATTTCCTATGTTTACATGTAATGAATAAATTCAATGAATATTAAATACCTGACAACACTGACAGAATTGCTATTTGGAGGACATGTTTGAAGCTAATCAGCAGATCAAAAGACTGGACGTTTATAGCAGAGTGTTTTAATTAAGATCCGAATAGGAAGCAAATGACGAGGAAATATACGATTCAAAATAATTTAAGCAATCGATGTGTGACTATCGATGGTTTCAGTAAATGACTTCCCTTGATAAATACGCAGTGCAAAATGCAGGAAGTACCAGATTGGTTCACTTTCATTTACAGTTATCCGCCTGTTACCTCTTAAACAAACTTTATCTGGGTTTCAATTTTATTATCAGTTATTAAAAAGAGACTAAAATATCTTCAGGTTTATTTTATTTCATATAAACTATACACTCATTTGGGAAATGACTTCAAATAAGACAATTCAAGGAGAGAAAAAACTATTCCAATAGGATTGCAATAGTTTGTGGCAATAGACTATTGCTATCGCAATAGTTGTTTCCCCCTCAATAGTCAACCCTAGAAGACAAGATAGAATGAATCAGGTTTTATAGTAGTGATTGTAGTGAGGGGAGACTAGAAATTGATGTTTGAAGCGCGCTTCAATGCTCAATACATAATAAGGCAGATTAATGTTTCCACTTCCAAATAAAAGGATCTGAGCGATTATTTTTCATAGCTTTATATTTTTCAGTTGTATATATATATAGATATATCTTAATAATTTTTTTAAATATCTCAAGAGAAAGAGCATGTTGTTTAATACTAGAAAAATAATTGAATCTTTAGGCTAGAAGTATAATATGATTTAGTATTTTATTGTTTGAGCACACTCCAAACATGATAATGAAATTTGTAAATGTGATATTAGATTGGAGATGAGTATTTAGAAATTGTGCTACTTTATGCCTACAGTTTTCAACTACACAGTCAAAAAATACATGCGATATATCTTCTGAGGTATTTTCACAAAAATTATCAATATCAACTAGCTTCATCCTTAATTGTTCTTACTTTGTATATGCTATTTTGTAAATAAATCTGTACTGAAAGTCTAACAGCTTACACTCTATTGAACATTTCCTGTAATATCTGAATACCTATTCCAAATCACATCATGCTGATAGATAGTACTCCCATGCTCAAGTATCTTAGGGGTATGTTGTTCTTCATCAATTTATCATTTAACATTTTAGATCATATCTTGGTAAACACTATTACTGTTTAATTGATTTAAGCAGAGAATTCTGTTTTCTAAAAGTTGTCTCCAGTTCACTCGAATGTTATTTAATAAATGTTGATAATCTAGGGAAGTTCTTCTTATTTTGGGCCTCAGTTTTAGATTATCAAAAGTGAGAAATCCATTTTCATTACCAATATCTCTGACATAATGTATACCGCAATCAAAGCAATTTTCTTTTATCAGTATGGCAGGCTGTAAGGGGAAAAAATGTATATTTGTGAAATGTGCCAGGGGGTGCTGTGCTTTATGTACAAATCAGCCTGTGACATTACCATCCAGTTGACAATGGGAAAGTGCGTCACTGTGCCAGTGCGAGTTGGAAGAAACGATAGTTCTCTTCTGTTATAACTTCAAAGGGATTGCCTTCCCAGGCGGTAATTTCCTTCTTTGTAACAGGAGTTGTCTGTCAATAAGAAAAATAATAAATTAAAAAAATGAATAACAATAATGACACAAGGAATTGAACAATTTGTACAAATAGTTGTTCCAAGTAGAGTCATGAACAAGAGAAGTCAGATCCCAGTCCTGGAGAAACTTGCAGGTAACTTCCAGTATGCATCGGATGTTCAAGCTAGTGCAGGTCTTTACACGTTTACAAGTTGAGCCATAGGCTGCCAAGCTGTCGACTCCCAATGGTAGACAATGTCCCTCAGTCTTCACAGGCTATCTAATGACACATGGACTCCAACAGGATTTGTGAAGTCCCAAGAAGCGTCCTGTACAAGAGTCAGATCCCAATCCTGGAAAACTCGCACACGTAACTTCCGCTATGTTGAATCTAGTGCAGTTACTTACACGTTCACAGATTGAGCAATCGTAGACAATTCGAAAAACTCAGAAGTCAGATGCCAGTCCTGGAGAAACTCGCACGTAACTTCCGGTATGTAACGGATGTTGAAGCTGGTGCAGTTCCTTACCTGTCCACAGGTTGAGCCACAGTCTGCCAAACTGTCGACCATAGTGGACAATGTCCCTTAGTCTTGAAAAGCTAGTCACTGGTACTTCGACTTGCACAAGATTTGTACAAAAAGAAGTCCCAAGCAGCGTCCTGAACAAGAGTCATATCCGGATTTTGTACGAGCACGCATGTGACTTCCGGGTTGTAACGGATGTTGAAGCCGATGCAGGTCCCTACTCGTTCACAGGTGACGGCGCATGATATCGCACTATTAATCTCTGGCCCTTGGGTAATGTTGGAGGCACCGTCGTAGCGAGATCCTTGTGTTTGTACATATGATGCACCTGAAATACGATGATACCATCTGAAAGACATTGTCTACACAATTCTATAATATCCTTTTTAACTTGACAATATCTAATATGTTAGTTAACACAATGCATTTAAGTTTGACTTTTTCTGTTAGAAAACGGGTGTGTTAAATGTCTTTGAAAATACCATCTGGATATTAGCCATCAGGTAATAGAGTGAGGGAGTGGGTTTTAGTTTTACGCCGCTTTTAGCAATATTCCAGTAATATCACGATGGGAGACACCAGAAATGGGCTTCACACATCGTAGCCATGTGTTGAATCGAACTGCTCTTGGCGTGACGAGCGAGCGCTTTAACTACTCGGTTATCCCACCCCCCTCAAGTAACAGAAGTACAATCTCATGCATCTGTCAAAATGCAAATGAAACACGCGAATCATGTACAGTTGTGATGATAAATAAAGATTTTAACGTGAAAACATACAATAAACCTAAATAAGCTTACAACTGACGAGGATGACTATGTGTACATAGAACACACTTCACTTCGCCTTGATTTATGTCAAATCATGTGTGTTTTTTGACGCTGCACTGAAGAATATTTCAGCTATATAGCGGTGGTCTGTAAATAATCGAGACTGGACAAGATCCAGTGATCAACAGCATGAGTACCGATCTACGCAATTGGGATGCGATGACATGTGCCAACTAAGTCCCAATCCTGTTCGTGACCTCTTCCGCGACAAGCATTGGCTGCTTTCGTGTATTTTGAGCCAAATTGGGATACGGTGGCATGTCTTGTTTCATATAGTTTCACACATTTGTAATATACACCATCCCATCATTTTGACCGCTAGACTTTACAACAAGGAAACTTACACAAACAATTGCCATGTGTTAGCCCTCCATACACTTTCACTTCGCAGAATTGCAGCAAATCGTACGGATCTATCTGTTTTGTCTTGGTGAGACGGAGATACCTGCCAGTCACGGGTCTTGTACATCTTATGGTCAGTGTCGACTGCGTTACGCTGTCCGAGATGAAGTTGCAAAACTTGGCCGGGGTCGAGGGTTCAATAGACGGATCCTCGTCGAAAAGCTCCAGAGACATACCGTGCAATCTCTCACCTGCAATAAAAGGTTTAAATATACAATGTCATAAAATGTGTTGTTATGGGGACGGTGGGGTGGCCTAGGGGTTAATGCGTTCTTTCGTCACACCGATGACGACTAAAGGGATCGGGTTGTCAGGCTCGTTGTCTTGGATAATACATCCAAGTGTGTAGATCGATGCTCATGATGTCAATCACAGGATCGTCTAGTTCAGACTAGATAAGCAACGGCTTCTAATGAGACAGACCCTCTTTGGATTACACCATAGGATGGGAACAACGGCTTCTTCTGAGCTAGACCCTCTTTGGAATACACCATGGGGTGGGAGCAACGACTTCTACTGAGACAGACCCTCTTTGGACTACACCATAGGGTGGGAACAACGGCTTCTTCTGAGCTAGACCCTCTTTGGAATACACCATGGGGTGGGAGCAACGACTTCTACTGAGATAGACCCAATTTGGACTACACCATAGGTCGGGAGCAACGACTTCTACTGAAATAGACCCTCTTTGGACTACACCATAGTGTTGGAAATACCGGCTTCTGCTGAGATAGACGCTCTTTGGGCTACACCATAGGGTGGGACTCAAAGGCTTCTACTGAGATAGACACTCTTTTGACTGCACCATAGGGCTGGAGCGACGACCACTGATATTAAGTAGTCAAAATTATATTTTTCATTTGAACCCAGTTTGGCGTGAGAGTTGGCAGATACGTATAATGTCTCACGAAAGATCATGTGTCTGTTCATGCAATATCTAAGAAATGAAACATAAGTGTCAATATGTTCCACATTCTAATCTAGTAAACTCACGACAACAATCCTCTCTGTTTGTGATTTCGATCTTCCTCACAATGACATTAGCCTGCATGTCAACCTGCCACCAGGGGTCGCTGTCCCAGTCATCAGAGGCAAAACAGCTTCCAGAGGCAAAGTATCCGTTGCTGTTTCCATCATTAGCAGTGCTCCCATTATTGTTCCTGAACGATGAACTCACTGAGGTTGGCCTGTTCAAGGCCAGATTTGTTTCTGTAATTAGTCAGAAATACTCAAGTATACCAAACAGATTTCACACATGGTACCCATGTGGGAAAGCAAACCTGGGGATCTTCAATGCCGTGGACAATGAAACACAGAGATCGTCAATGTCATGTAATACATTTGTGAACAAACGTACTGAATGGACATCAGACATTGTTGCCATATAGATACTGAACTCGTGAGTTTTATGTGAGAACTTAAACGTCTCTGTAGGGGAGCATTTGTCACCTTTCTGCACTCTGGAAGAACGGAAAGAGTGGAAGTTCAAACGGAAAATGGCAGAAAACCTACAAAAACAATTTGTATCCGCAGTTCGAGACAACCGCAAAAGGATGATACCTAAGTCATAGACAGGAGACATGGCTTTACTTCGAAACAATCGTAACAGCAAGAGACAAACGGGCAATTACATATGCTTTAACAAAACAATGATAGAAAATCTAATTTTTTTTATTGTTATCAAATTAGCTTTGTTTTAACAAATGAATTAGTATCACGCCTCTGTAGCTCACCTTCTGTTACAAGCATGTGAAGTTTCTGTTATATAAGTTTCGTTCCTTGGGGCATTACCTTGACAAGGTCATGAAGTGGATTGAATTATGAAGTTTGTTTACCTGTAACTTCTGAGCATGGCTGAACTGCAAATGTCACATTTTAACACCGTTGTTTCGAATGTGAAGACACTTTGAACATACTTCGGATTCCCGACCCCCCTAGCGATCTTAGCAATCAGTTGATCGTAACTCGTATTCCTTAGGACTGACTTACGACAATTGGGCCGTTCTGTAAGCTCTATGTTATCTCTCTGAAGACTACGTTAGATCATTGGAGATACGGTCATCGTAGGGCTGAGGTCGCTTTGTGCAAGTTGGCACTGGGCCAAGGGCCCCATTTCACAAAGTGATCGTTAGGCTAATTTTAAATGATCGTAACTCCCATACAGTGGACTCTGTTTAATCCAAAACTCACTAGGACCGGAAAAAAATGTCGGATTATACAGAGTGTCGGATAATTCAATGTCTCCTTGCTTGAATATTATTCTCACCAAATTAATTGATCCCTATTCACAGCCCATCCAACCTATGCTTGACAAAACATACCTAGGTCCTCACATTGGCCACTCAGCTTGTAAAAACAAAGGTACAGACGGACTCACACTGCTAATTACCTCCCAGTGAGCAAGTGTTGGGACCAAAGAGATTACCAGTAACAGAATGTTAGTTGTCAACCAGTTTGCTTCAGTTGACAGAACTGCAAATACAGTCAACAATTTCAAAACAAATCACAAAAAGCAGCAGCCTACAACACACATAAACCCCAAACGCATCTAACCTACACTAAAAGTTTTACTGAAGTGGAACTTTACAACGTAATCAACCACAAAAAAGGTACTACCCCAGGTCAAGACAATGCCAGCTATATCATGTTACTA